GATTCTGAGGAACATGTTCTCTTCCAAGATAATATGAAAAATCACGTGATAGTCACACTGGTCTTGAAACCAGATAATACACAAGTGTCAGCAACATAAGATAACTGAATTCAAAAGGATTTTGCCTTCTCTCAGGCTAGGTAGTACTGCTTGAGAACTGGCATGGAGTATAAAGCAGAGGAAGGACCTAAATTTGGAAGGGAATTGTCCTTTATTAGTGGTTACCCTGGCAATTCCATTCATTTTCATATTTAGAAAACCCACAAAGGCTGCAATAATTTGGCACTTCCTTCATGTATAACATGATCATTTTCACACTAATGTAGCAAAGCCTTGTTTTAGAATCAACTGTAAGGAATGAGAGTGTATGTTTGTCCCAAAGTGGACAATCTTTATAAACAAAATGGTGACTACTGTTGTTTTCATTCTTGTTGTAGTCTCACAAGGCATGCATATACTCATGCTGGACTAGTTGACATCAGCCCATTTTATGTAGCTGCAGAGTTATCATTGGGAAAATCCAGACCATGCCTTGAAATTTCTGCTTTACCTACATCCCCCTTTTTGAAGCACTCTGCACTCCTGCTAGCTCCAGCACCTCTTCTCTCTTGGCTGCCCTGATGTTGTGCCCTTCTACAGTCCAAAGCTGGCGGATGATTTCAGTCTCAATTGAGGCTATTCCTGTGTTTTATTCTCAGACCCTTCTCTTCTGTTGCACGGGAATTCAATGAGGCCACACGTGCATGATGTGCTTCTGCATCTTCATCCGGATTATTGTGCCTATCCCTCACATACCTCTTTACAGTCTTGTGATATCCTCATCCTATAACATCTTCTTAGCAGGATTCTCACTGAATTTGCTTTTAAAAATATGTAACTTTTGGAGCCAGGTTCATAAGCCTCTACATTTTTCTCCTTTGAGGAAGCAACATCATTTCATGGATCCAATCCTACTTCACAATTTCTCTGGTACATCTCTCTTTATCATTCTAACATTTTCCTCCTAACTATAAAGAGGAATCTTGGGGCTGGGGAGATGGCTCAGTGGAATAAGCACTTCCCTGGCAAGCACAAGGGCCTGAGTTCAATCCCCGGTTCCACCAGAAAAAGAAAAAGAGGAATCTGTGTGGTACAGAAGCCTAGAGAAGAGTAAAGAAATAGAGACCCATACAATGCCACTAACCATATACATCTCAATATATTTACTTCTCAGGAAGTATATCTTGATGTGATCAGTAATACATACCAATAAGAACAAAAGAAACAAAGAAGTATG